TAAATTTTTCCCCAAGAAGTCAATAAGCCGTTTAATTTTTTCCCCGTTGTCCTAACAATGTAAAGACGGTTTATCGACTTCTTGAGAAGAATTCTAAGAAGAAAGTAAACCTGCAGACATCGGTCTTGTTTAACAAAATCTGCCTACAAGAAAATCTGTCACCAAAGTACACTAATATTGAAATACTCAACCATTAAAAAGACGTACATGTTAATGTTTTGTAACAAAATTAATTTTTCTCTTAGAACCTTCTTTGGATTTTCACATAATTTTCTAGCAGTTTTTGTTTTAGCTTTTGTCTCCAATGATTTGGTTTCAGCATTTGGGAATTTTCAGTTTAAAAATTGATAAAAAGATGCTTGTTTGGTACTAGGAATATGACCAACTCTCAGCCCTCTAGGATAATTCCAGACTAGATAATCAAACTTTGTAATAGCTATTCCTGGATATTTTTCATATATCAAGTGCCGACAGTTCTCCACTGTGGCATTAAGACTAATTAATGTTGTGATAACCAATGTTTATTCTGACTCTTACCTATTAGGTATCAACTCGGCTCAAAGAGTTCGATATCTTTGCTACACTACAGCGTCTTCAGTACAGTTTCAAATACACATTAATTTAGTATCTACAAATTTAACTAATTTACCAGTTGTTCCATTATCATTGTTATTACTGAAAATGTGAAACAGCAAGGAGCCTTGAGGAACACCAGTTGTAACTATGTACTTCATCCCATTAATAAAACCTTCTGCCACCCATCCAATTCTCAGTCCACTAACTAAGCTCATCTCCTGTCCCAACTGACAGAATCCAAAGTTTCTTTTATGGTCCCTTATACAAAGGTACATCAAATCCACTGTATTACCCTTGTCCGGATTAAATATAACATTGTAATTGAAAGCTAGCAAATCTGTAAGGCTTAACTTTTCGTTTCTAAGTCCAGGCTGTTTTAATATGAAACTTGTCTAAATGTTCCTTAATTATAGATTCATACCTTTCTCAACAACTGGAAGCAAGTAACATTGTCTAATAATTACTGTCTACTTTACTAACTCCCCCCCCCCCCTCCTGCCTTATTATCAACAACAATAATGACTAAACAAGGTTAAGATACACCCAATAAATGACATAGCTAAACAGAATAATTTGTGGGCATATACATGTTCTGATAACTAAAGATCCACAATTTTCACTCAACCTTTGACCCCTTTTCCAAATACCCCAACTTTTCTGAAGTAATCCTATAAAAGAACACAAAATAAAGCCTGATTAGCTTGAATATATTTAAAATCCAAGCATAAAAAGAATTGTGTAAATATGTTAAAAGAATATTTGAATATCAGAATTTTTTTGTTCTTTTTAAATGGGAGACACTGAATGGGAACATAATTACAGAAGAATGAATAATCATTCAGAAGACAGCCCATCATCAGATGAAGTAGAAACTTACCAGAAATAAGGTTGCAGCTCATGAAAACGAGACTCAGTTCTTCAGGATACTTGTATTCACTGTACCAAATGGAATAGTTCTCCTTGTCAAAGTTCTCCCAGAAGTATGCTATAGACTTCTGTTCATCTTCGTTGGAATATACTCGCTTGAAAGCATCCATACCGAATGTGCTGAAAATACACATCGACCATCGATATGGTAGTCAACACGTGACCCAGTTTGTTTTTCATACATTCTAAAAACTTGTTTATATTCCTAAAACATTCTTTGTTAATACCAAATTTTATTCAATATTCATTTATGATGAACACTATCTTCCAACACGATAACAATTAAGAAAAAAACCTTTCGGTTGAAAATAAAACATTTCACGGAGCTTCCCAGGATGGACTCATTCGCACAATTTGAATTTTGTTAACTCTTTCGCCCCGGGTTAAAGTGCATGTGTCACAATGTTTTGTAGTGTTATTTTCAAAATTTTATTAATTAACATTTTTACTACTTACATCAATGAAATTGGCATCCAAATGTATTTTATAATTTAAATTTTGATATTATACATTTTAATTTCTTAATTTAAAAGGAAATGTAAAGAAAAAAATATTAAATATCAATTTTGTGTGTCACAACACATCCAGTTGTCTTACTGTTCAATTGCAATTTTATTATGCCCACCATACAACATGTATAAGTAGTTAACGAATTTGAAATATAGACAAGCTAAATATAAAATAAGAACTTCCTTCCTCTATGATTTGCTGAGATAGCAATATTTTTAGCGAGTCTACTAGAGTGGCTCCTCCCACTGCATCAATCATTTGAAAGCTCTTGTCTAGTCCCACCTACTACTACTAATTAGCTACTACTTATAACCAATAGAAAGAACATTTTCATCCCTACCTAACTCCGACAGTTGTTTATAAATAGCTTGAAGGAGAAAATAATTTTGCCAAAACCGTTGAAGTGTGATGATTTAGTTGTTGCTCTGAAGAGGAATGGGATTTTTTTATAACAAACATACAGTTTATTTAGAGACCCGACTAAATTACAGGGATTTTGGGTGTACTAAT